ATATATAACAAAAACCCTTTTTGCTCAATTTCTGTGTAATCCATTATGAACTTCTGACTTAATTGACAGATACAGTAATTGTTTCAGCTCAAATACACATATAGCCCCTCTCAGTAATATAAACATGACAGTATATACTGTTACAGTGCAATGGACACAGTGATATAAACTATACCATGTCTAATTAATGCCACAGAGTCTTAATTGTGTTGCTGGAGTATAACACCAGTGGTTTGTGTGTGGGAGGATAGTGGGTCTGTTTGTGTGTTTCGAGCCTTTGTGCCTGGGTATGTGTGATGAATAAAACAAGACGAGAGAGGGAAAGAGGTCAAATATAGTATATATATTAAATATAAATATAGTGTATAGTATAACACCAGTGGTTTGTGTGTGGGAGGATAGTGGGTCTAAACTTTTTACTTCACATGGTGAACACGTGTGTTTTTATTCTCTGTGTAAGTTATATCAGCAGTCAAGACACAATCATAGAGATTTTGCTACTGATTACTCTTCTTAATACGCCCTTCCTTTCCTCCCTCCTTCCTTCCTTTCTTTTTTCTTTTGGTCTGTCCCATCATCTTCATATCTCTCCTGATCTGCCTCACCATAAGGCTTCTGAATATTTCCACCCTTAAAATGCTGTTCATGTGTTCTTTATTCCTTATTTCACCATGTGATATGAGAAAAAAAACTCTCCAAACATCCAATAACGACCTCATCCCAAAGCTAGAAATGAAAGAACCGGGACAGTAATCTGTGATACAATCAGTGGGCTCATTCTGCTAATCTCAACAGCAATTTAGAGACCGGTTTAATATTTTTTTATTTCTAAAATTCCTTACAGAAATTCCCTCACAAAGTGCCTCTAATTTAACACCAGCAGATCATCTTAAATGTTTCCAAATGAATACACAGGAGACTTGGTCTTGTTTCTACCTTTGGGAGACAGTAATTCATGCTCACTAACGGTAATATTACCATCTAAGATCACAGCAATGCTCTTTTCCATTTTAAGCATACTCACTAACTACACGCCATTGACTGTCTGCAGAAATAAAATATATTTTCACCTCAATTAATCTTGGCTGAGTGGCATTAAAGTTTTTTGTTTGTTGTGCTTATTCAGCCAGTGGACCTTCTAACATCATATTTTGTCTTGCACACAACACTTAGAGTATTTAAGTTCAAATACATTTGATCATAGCTATATTAATTATATTTGTATTGGTAGATTACCAGTCAGTTTATATAACAGATGTATTGGTAGTATATTGCCTTATCCCCCTCTCTAAGTCCAGCTAGTTCAGTCTCCACAGTTTTCCTGTAGATTGTTTAGTTTTTTAAAAGGTGAAGTGGTTTGTGTGAGATCAGGACTTTCTTCTTCTACTGGCTGTGTGGTGCCAACACTTTCTTCTTCTTCATGCTGCACACTCACAGCAGCTGTTTTCTGATCAACAAAATCTTCTTTTTGTTGCCCAGAATACAGTAATAAGCGTAGCTACGGTGGCTCAGAGGGGACAGAAGCTGCAGTCAAACATGAATAATTGCCTTTCTGGGGAAAGATAATTCCAGGTTGACATTTAATGAAGGGCCCCCCTGAGTACTGGGGGCATGTTTACCACACATTTCTCATTTCAACGGTATTTTATGAGCTGTTGAGGGCAAATTGCCCGAGACCTCCCGTAAATTTCTCATTAATCAAAAATGGCTTTGTTCCCTTGGGACGATACAGTACAAACAGAGTTGTATCAGACTGTTGGCTCATTTTAATATTTCTATTTATTCTATTTGATGTGAAGAGACAAACGTTGGGAGTGACCTGGGTAACAAACGGGCCAAACATGCAGACTCTTGTCCCTCCATTGACATTACTGCACACCTGTGGTTTACATCTAAATGTGTGCCGAGGGAATCCCGTTTCTCCTGCAGTGTGACTCTGCATAAACACAGAGGGATCTCTTGTTATGTAATGCATACTATTAGAAATACACGAGCAAGTTGGTTTAAAGCAGAGCCAGTTAAATACTGACAAAAGTCTACATTGAATATGTTGCAGAAAGGGATCAAATGAGAGTCAATATGAGTGTTAATAACTCACCCATTCTGTCTCGCTGACCTTTTTCCTTTAACTGTTCTTGTTCCTCTTTTTCTTCTACTTCCCAAGAAGAAACCTCGACAACAGATAAGAAAACGGACCGATCCACGACGCGTAGTTACGCTTCATTAGAATCCCCGAGAGTTAAACTGGTAACAAACCAGAGCAACAGAAGTGGGGATGCACCAATATGATTTTTCTCCTCTGATTCTATACCTGAACCTTTAGTACCAATTTGATAGCTGTCATATAAAAAACTAACAGTGGAATCACAGAGTTTCTTAATGACATTATTACAGAAGTTGTATTTAATGTGGATCAATATCTGATGCAGTCCACTGAATGCAGCGCATGAAGGAAGTCAAACATTACTTTCACTTATTGAAAATGAAATATAACGTTTAGTCAAGCTGAATAAGAAATAATTCAACAACAGCCGTAATAAAGAGAGAGACAGACAGACAGAGAGAGAGACTGTGTTAAACGACATGTAATCAAACCACCAATCAGCTGTGCGCTCCAGATCAGACTGGAGACGTAATCACTTAAAAAGATGAGCGCGTTGTACTTTCTATCTTCTGGAGTTTGTACTTTTTTAAACAGGAAACACGTGTTTTGTATTGTGATATTTTCTGGAAATGACGTACGATATAGCCAACAGCAAGTAGGACAATTTAAGGAGATCTCCCTCCAGACAGCTGCCACCTCAGTTATGTTTTTGTTGTGAAGTGAGGAGTTACTTCACCTTCATGAATCAGCCGTTCCTCGTCCACTGCAGGCTTTTAAAGCGAGCAACAGGAATAAATAGAAACATGACGGTGTCATAGAAATATATGTACAAATAGTTCAGACCTTTGTGTTTTTATGAATGAATATTCAATACTATTTTTGGCAGCCTTGACGTATATTAATCTATAATACCTGCCTGGTAGATGTATGGGTCTAGCTCTACATAGATCTACATTGTGAACCATCTAACACTTCAGCTGTCAACACCAGTTTAACTATGTTCCCCCAAAACCACACGACACTTTTCTTTTTCTTGACGCACGTGTTCGCCCCGACGTCACTTCACATGTTGTCAAATCGTGCCGCTCCACCACCAGCCGACTCAACCTAGCTTCAACCAAACGCCTCTAAAAGTGCTTCTGGACATACGGCAGAAACAAGTGGCTCATGCTGCTGTGTGTCCACATAATAACTGTGAACACGATCACGCGTTCATCACCAGCAATGGAGCAATGAGGGAACCCTGCTTTGTCAGTTACTAAGCAACAGACATGGAAATGTGGAGCAAATATTGCAGCCAGTAAAAAAACCAAAATACTTTGTCTTCATCACCGCTCTGTATTCAAGACAGCCATATTATTTCAGCCTTAAAATGGATGTGTAGGTAGGATTACTACACTCTGTGTTACTTTAAAACATGCATGTGTGTGTGTGTGTGTGTGTGTGTGTGTGTGTGTGTGTGTGTGTGTGT